TAAGCAATTTACAGAATCAGCATATTCCACCAACAATCTGGGTCCTCATTTTACCCACCTCTGAAGGATGGAAGGCTGAATCAACCTTGAGCTGGTGAGATGCAAACTGCCAAACTACAGCTAGCAGTCAGCTGAAGTAGCCTGCAGTACTGTACTCTAATCACTGCAGCACTTCGGTTCTTAACAATTGTATCATTGGCAGGGACCTCTGTATCAATTCATCCAAATAACTGATTGATAAACTTAAACACCTACTAGCTATGAACAGTCAGCCCATCAGCTCACCAATCAAGTGATGCTGTCAAGGTCTTGTCTTAGTGTCTGGAGTGCCTGGAGGCTGTTTCGATTTGAATGGGGAGGAACAGGTTTAAATTAAGCGATAACATGATTTATATGCCTTTGGGTGCGTGATTCTTCCTGTGCTGGAGAATCTCCATAATTAATTCTGAATGGGGTGGCGATACATATTTTGTGCACAATTTGGGGGTGGGCGGGTTCTCCTTTCTGAAGAGCAGATGGCAGAAAAAAGCTAGGAAGGCCTTTCCCCAGATTAATCTGTGTGTTCTTTCCTGAATTGGGCATCCCTTTTTAACATATGAATTTTTAACATACCTCATGATGATGTGGCTCTGCAACATGCCCTCTACATGGCTGTCCTTGAAGACCACATGGAAGCTACAGCTGATCCAGAATACAATGGCATGAACATTTATGAGCACAACTCAGTTACGTCCACTTAACATTTCTGCTATAGAAGTTGCACTGGTTGCAGCAAGCTTTTCAGTGCAATTCATGGTGTCAGGAATAATCTATAAAGCCCTCATGGTATAGAGCCTAGCTATCTGTGGGATGATGTTTCTCCCATTTCTGCCCACCTCTTAAGATTTAACAATGTGAGTATGGTTCAATAAGCGACCCATAAATTAAGCAGTCTGACAGGATCAAGGAAATATGCCTTCTTTGTCCGAGTGCCTGTCATTTGGAATATTTCCTCAGATGTTCAAACTGGCCCAACGCATAACAGTTTTAAATGTTCTTTGAGAACCTGGTTTATTCCTGAACTTCTATGATAGGTCTCGGTGGGCTCATCTGACATGGAATATCTCCTTCTGTTAGGTATGTATGTTTTCCTCTGTTATGTTTGCTATTGTCTAATTTCAAGTATTGTATCTGTTTTTAATCTATATGCTTCCCAAAGTTAATTGGAGCGGCCTTGTAATTATAAATAGATAAATTTGTCTGTATGGGAGGGTTAATCATGGTGCATGTGCTGTGTGTGAGAGAGACATACATGTATAGGCAAAGAAATCTAATCAGGGTGAGTGCTTGCTTACTGCATCTGTTAATATGTATAGTATGTGGTCACTCAGAAGATTACATACTGGTTGGTCTTGGTCACATGACTAAAGAAAGCGGATTTAAAATGTTTAGAAATTTCAGTTAAAAAGCTAATTGACTCTCCTATTGGGAAGACTAGGGGAAACTTTTTCTAGATTTTTTTTTCTTCATAGGGCCATCTTGGAGTTGGCAAGGATCTGCCCAGCTGCCTCAGCCCCACTCCCTGGGCACTTGTCACCTCCTGGGCACACACCCCAACGGGCAGGGCTGAGGCAGCAGGTATGGCCCCTAGCTGGCTTCAGGGCTGCCCCATGGATCTAAGGCTCACTGGGTTCCAGGTCAGATGGCTGCCATCCAGTTAAAGATCAGCTCCTGGTTGGCCTGGGCCGGGGTTGAGGTGCCAGGGTCTGGTCCTTTGCTGCTTCAAGGGCAGCTCCCTGGGGCAGATTGAGCCACATCACATCAGGCCTTGAGTTTGATATACCTGGAGAGAAGGAGAAAGGGGAAGGGAAGGAGGAAGATGGGAATAGGAAGGAGAGGAGAAATGGAAGGGCAGGGAGGAAGGAGATAGGAATGAGGAGGGAGGCAGGGAACTTGGCCATGCCCCCCATCCCCTCAGGTCAACCACAACCCTGATGCCCTCAATGAAATAGAGTTGGACACTCCTGATCTAGAGAAAAAAGTGTAACAAGGAAGCATCAATTTAGTTCTTTGAATTGTTCATTGCTTGTAACAAATATAGCTAGACAAAAGAAAAAAATCATATTGTAGTCAACTAACTCGATAACTGGAGTTCTTGTTATCTCTTTGGCCGATATTCCAATTTGGCCGATATTCCAACACTCAGGCTGGGGGGTCAAATTTTATA